GAAGTAAGTGTGCTTCCTTAAACACTGGACTTAAGCTGAAGGATGATCTTGAAATTAGTCTGCTTTGCGGCCACCATTTTGGGTCATATTCTTGTTTATAGGCACAGGTGCCTCTTAAAAGTTAAGTAAGTCGTTATCTTTTGCTTTCCTGGATACCTGTTGCCTAAGAAACCTTCCTGAATGCAGGTTCTTCTCTTAGTTTGTTTACTGGTATATTTTAAATGAAGTTTGTTTAGAAAGGTATTTAACTGACCCTCTCCACCTTTGTCCAAAACCTTGTAAAAGGATCACTTTTCAATGAAAACAATTTCACCCTCAACTTCATTGAAAAAGTAAGGGGAGTGAGACTAAAGAACATAATGCATCAATCAATCAAAAAGTTTGACATCCTCCTCCAGGCAACTCTCCTGGGCAGGGCTCAACACTAATAGCGGTCAACTAGCCACAGATTACTAGAAATTCAGTTTTGGCTGGTAGTTTTCGATTTCCTCTAACCAGTTTGGCTAGTAAAAATACTGAAAGTTTTGTAACATCTAAGTTGTCACTAGCCACTATACTAGTAAGTTGAAAAGTTAGTGACAAGCCCTGCCCTGGCATTTCAATTCTGAAGATAAGTTTGTTCCAATTTTCCCACCCATGTGCTGGATATGATGGTGAATATTTTTGACCAAGCTTCTGAATAGATATTGAAGACTTTTTCTTCTGAGCCCTTGTCTGCAAAAGTGAACTCTATACTTTTATACACCTTCATATTGAAAGTCATTTAATTGCTGATAGTCAACCTAAAAAACTCAGCACTTCCAGTTCAAATTTCCCTCCCCAGGCAGGCAAGGTAAAATTTCCCATTTACCCATTCTTGGGCTCGGACACTTTTCAAATGCCTGTGGGTTGCTTGGGGGTGAGGTTAGGAGGGGGGGAATGTTGAAGGTTCCAATTGACTGATGCATAATAAGGTATAAATATTTCTAAAATACTAGGTATACGCCCTAATTTTCTGTGAAAGTTTCAGGATATTTGTCTTGATATGGGGCTGTGAACAGAAGAATCAGCTATAAAGACTTGCAAATGAAAGTACACTTAAATTAATTGAAAGTGCTCGAGGCAGTAATGTGATTTTCAAGCTTGCCAATTTCTATATATATATATATATATATATATCCTCCTTTGCGTAATTTATTAAGTAAATGCGCAAAACGATTCACATTTTAGTAAGACAACTGATAGAAAGGTGTTTTTATATACCTGACGATGAATCTTCTCGTTGTCTCTTTACTGGAATCTTCATCGGTCTCTTTTCTGGGTCTTCTTTTCTGTTCGACGTGGCTTTATTATCCCTCAGACAGCCTCTCCAATTTAATTGTCCATCTACCTGGAAGAACCTGTTGAGCTTTGTCTGCCTCGCATTGCGTAATTTTTTTACTGTTCTCGGCGAGAGAGGGGAACAAGAGATCTGTACATCGACGCCGCCTGGTCTGGAAGCAAGATTTAATAAGCGTTTCTCTTTCGTTTTCTTCGTCTTTCCACCCTTTAGTGGAGCTAATCGAGTTTCTTCCCTTTTGGTATTTGCAGAAAGCCATTGTCCACAGCCTTCTGCACGGTTGGACATGATATTTTCAGTCAAAAAAAAGGCAAATTACGTTTGACAAGAAGCTAAAATTTGCTATTATGATTCAAAATGGCGCGCCAATTTAAACAGCCTCGCTTTGATCATTCATTGAAGTACCAAAATAACCTCGGAGGGGACCCCTGAGAAAAAAGAAGAAAGCATTGTAACATTTCCCCCTAAAGAACGAATGCTTCCTCTTCAATACATTTATCCATAAAGATAAGAAATATGCTAACTAACGGGAATAGAATCTGGGGATATTTTATTTCGTATTAAGAGGATGTGATGCGATATTTGATTATATCTGGGGAGTCCCCCAGAGTAATGTTTATGTTTTGGCGTTCGTCGGATCGCTCTCAGCCAGTCATGCAAGAATCACTCTCATCGATGGAGTGTGAACGATAATTAATATCTTTCAGTCTTTCCACAGGAGATTGCAGAATGGCCAGGGCAGTTGATCAAAGGAGAAGTCATTCTGCAGTGAATATCATATCAATAGATATTGGAACAACCACAATCGGTTGCCATCATTTTGATAGCTCGGGAATCTCTTTGTACCACACATCAAGAAAGGTTAGTTCCACTGATTGAAGTCCAGGTCACTTTCTTAGTAGTAAGCTTCGCAGAAATCGTTCCTGATCGAGCTGAAGGCTGTAAAAAAAAAATTCTTTTAGGAGTGTTGGTAGTAGTAGTTGCGTTCATTTACAAGACCACAACTTCTAGCGATTCTTTACAAATTTAAGCTCAAGCTTTAGCTTATTTAATTATATAAATAAGTGGCAAGACTTCTGTGAAATAGTATGTAAGGTTGAAAGCTTTTAGAGCCTTGTTTGCCTTTTTGTAAAAACAGGCTGTTACTTTATGACACCAAACAAGGCCGGAATTGATTATCAGGTTCTGTGCTTTGAAATTATCCACACTTTGAGAACTGTTTCATGTCTTGTGCTTCCAAACAGATCTGAATCTGGACACTCATAAACTAGCGCATAACGTAAATACAACACCCTCTCTGCCCTTTAAAGAGATCACATCAGTCTAGCTCCGTCCTAAACGGTGCATTGACTGCCGTAGAAAAATATCTCATTGTAGTCTTCTGAACTGTAAAAAATCGTCTTAGTGTATTGGCTAGTTTAAAGCCAAATATAGGTTTTTCCCTTCTGTAGAAGGGTTAATCCTGTAAACACAGTTGGAAAAAAGGTAGCATTTTTACTAAATGTGCATATTAGTTAAATGGGAGATGATAACATTGAAATAGAAATTATCCGCTGGCATGGATCACTGCTTTTAAATCCTATAAACGTGATTTTTCTCTAAAGTATAGTAACTTTTATTAGTCCCCGAATATTAAACCAGTGTTGAACAAAAACTAACTTCCATTTTGCATTTTGTATGCTCAGTTGCCATACCTTTAAACAGGAATTTCAAGAAGTCAAAGATGACCTTGTTGTGAGACAAACCTTGCTTTTGTTTGTTTGTTTTTCACCCTGTTGCATTATGATGCTAACTTGTTCAGGTCTCAATCAAAACAAGGTCCTCTTTAGCTTGACACCTCCCAAGAGGCTAATGGCAACTGAGTACATCATAAATGTGCACTGTGATGGGTGGATGGATGGATGACCTTTATTTATTAAACAAGAAAAAAAATTTAAAGCTACAAGCCTGTGGGGTCATGTATTTATAATTAAAAACATAAATCCTAATGTAAATAAAATGTCAAAAGATTGACTAGATTAGTAACTAAAGCATTATGAATTATACATTAAATTTATTGTTTAAGAGATGAAATCATTACTGAATGGGTAAGATATCACTAAAATGTTCATAAATAATCGTCAATTATAAATAAAATCTGCATTTCTACGCCGCGTTGTCAAGGCGGAGGTAGTCTCGAATTTAAAATCCTTGAAATAATCTTTTGTTCTTATCAGATATCGATCTTTGTTGCTCAGATGCCATGTTCCGTTCTCCTTGAGACAAATCGTATTCCACAGAACGGTGCCTCTGTAAGCCAGCGAATCCTTCATAAATCTAGTTTCGAATCTTGGTACTGATAAGCAGTCTCCACCCTCATAATGAATATCCATTACTCACTTTGATCAGAGATAAGGGCTAGCACACAGAGGGCTTGGGGAAACTTTTTCATTGAATATGAAACTTTAAGCCTCATTTAGAATGAAGTTTTGTACATGGCTTGGTAACACTGCCTAGGACAGATGATGATAATGAATCATTACATGATAGAATTTACAACAAAGCTTACAGATTTTGCTATCAGAGCTTAATTATCTCCATTTCTGCAGCATAAAGTCAGGCTAAGAGAATTACCACTCTAATTGGCTGATGGGTTGTTAGTCCATTACAGGTTTGCTTCCCTCTCCATCTCCCCATCCTTCCCTACCCTTGCTTTTTTCTGTCACATTTCATTAGTGCTCATTCAGAGCTGTCAATCAGGGCTGTCAATCAGGGTCATCGATTAGGGCTTTCAGTAAGAGGCAGTAGTTGGCCAAAACGGCTGGCTTGTCTCCTATTTTTACCTCCAGAGCTACTTTCACCTTGTGTTATGATAGGACTGGTGAAAACTAATTTAAAATTAAATACAATTTTAAGTTAGAAATTATAATCATTCAATCATTTTCAAATAGTAACAGATAAGAGGTGTGAATTAATTCTGCATTTAAAGGGTTTTGCAAACTTGTGAAACACCAGGCAGGTCAGAACTTAATAGCTCCCAGTCTAGTATAAGATTTAACTATTAAACAACATATCCACGGTAACAAGGTTGCCTACTATTTCTTCTTTTAAACTTGTTGAAAACCCTAAATTCATTTAGGCTCTTGTAGAAGGATGGCTTTTTTTTAAGTTAGTTAAGTATCAGTTCCAAGAACACTGCCAGAATGACAAGGGCTAGGGTTCCAATCTGAATCTCTCTCTCCAACATCCAGCTTGGTAACCATCAACCCTCCTATCTTACATTTTTTCCCTTTAGGTTGAACTTCTTTATCCCCAGCTGGGAGGGGTCGAGTTAGACCCAGATGTGTTATGGGAGCAGTTTGTTGATGTTATTACTGAGGTCATGGAAGGTAAAAAAAAATTTTTCTTAATGTCCGTTACAGTTATTAATAGTAGTCCCAAATATTAAATCTAGTGCCCAAACCCTTTAAACATTACCCTAGCATCAGTAAGCATATTCTCCATTCTGTTCATTGTAATTTCATAAGTTTTTGACAAGGAGAACTTGTTCAACAAGTGAGAGCGTTTTTTAATTCAATTTGGTGATCATTTCCTTTATTCTCCTGACCTCAATGTGTGATTAATGGGAGGAATATTCTTTGGAGAAATTAGATGCTGGCCACTCCAAGGAGTCAAAAAGTTTGGAGATGATTCTTGAATCACTAAAGGAGAGATTACCATGCCGGTGGAAAAAAAAAAAAAAACACATGAGAAAGTTTGGCACTAAGATGCCATACCCTAAACTCCAAACCTTTTTTGCACCAATGCTTTAGGTTCATAAGGTACCCATTTCAGATACATTCAAACATTTTTATCCTAATGTTTTGCATACTGGCAGGTTTCTATGGTGAGAAAGGGAGGACAAAAAGACGTATTTTTTAGCAACTTGATGAAATGTCCTCATGATTTACCTCTTAAAACATTCATGTTGCCATCACTTTCAAATTGCTGGTAACAACTTGCAAGGGGCAAACCTTTAAGTAACACCCACTGCCTGAAGAGGGTACCCCCATTCAGGAAGCGAACCAGCTGTACAGTCTGTTCAACAAATAGATTCCATATTGCTTTACATCTATTCAGCAATAGATCACAGATGACATCAAAATATGGTAAGACCAAAAAAAAAAAAAAACACAAAATGGTGTTAATGGTGATGTCATTTGTGTGTCTGTAGACTACAAGTAGGCTCTCCATTTTGGCAAAGTCCATTGTGCAAGTCAAAAAAAAATTAGTAAAAACAAAATTTCTGCTAGACACTGCGGGGGAGCTCCATGAGTCCTTACTTTTCAAGCACCTCACTCATGGGGCTATCATGGCACTTTGGTATCACTCTAACAGTTCCCCGTGGCATGCTAACAGCAATTTTTTTCCCCTAGAAAGTATATTTTTTAATTGTGCAATGGACTTAGCAGAAAAGGAGGGACTACCCATATTGTAGTGTGTCTGTCCTCTGACAGATAATATCTTAGGACAAATCCAAATGAATGTATGATTCTGCTTATCATAATGTATGACAAACTGGGTTATAGAACCTCTGGCTCATAAATTTCATGAGGCATATGTTTCTTAGTTCATTCACAGGTGAATCAATTTTTAGTTGTCTGGATTAAAAGTACTTAATACTTTTTTTCTCTTTTGAAGCATCAAATCTTCAAGCAGAGGATGTCACAGCCCTGGGGATCTCCACTATGAGAGGAACATTTATAACTTGGGACAGGTAATCACATCTGAGTGTCGGATCTAAGGGAGTGTCCCAGGGGGCCCAGGCACCCTCTTATTTTGGGTAAAAAATAAATGCAGAAGGAAGAAAACTTAGTCCCTCCCCCCCCTTAGCTCATAGTCTGGATCCATCTCTTACGATCTATCTTTGTTGCGTATTGATGATAATTCTTGAATATTACTGTTACAACATTTTTAAATTATCATTAGTAATGTAAGGTACAGTGGAACCCCACTAACTTGGACCCTGACCCCATGCTAACTTGAACAAGATCTAATTTTCACTTGGGAAGAGTGTACCTCCCTCCTACTCTTTGGCCTACAAATCTACTAGCTTGTTGACAGATCTGTTCAAGAATGATCTAGCACAACAGAAATGATGGGTAACTGGCCAAGTACAAGGTCATTCATGGAATTTCAAGGAGGCTCAGAAAAATTAAAAATTTTCCTTGTTTTGTTATCACATTCGCTTAATTCAAGTTCTTTCAACACCTTTAATTGTTGTAGAAGTAAATCCCTTATTTACTTTGTTCATAGAAAGACTGGTAAACCCTACCACAACTTTATCAGTTGGCAAGACATGAGAGCAGGAAATTGTGTCGAGAGTTGGAATAAATCTCTTACTCTAAAGGTTTGTGACATGGGCTTGCAATGTTTTGCTAAAAGCATCAGCATCAGAATCTCTCTGCTGTGGCCAATTCACATTATCAACTCAGTTGATAAAAGAAAATTATCCTGTAATAGTCAGTACGAACGCAGCAGTTCAGATTTTTAGAAAGCTACCTCCTTTGTTGGGCTAAACGCCTTTTGCGTCTTTTTGACTTTTCAGGTTTGAGCTTTGGTCAGATATATTACCAAAAAATTCTAAGAGAGTGCATTTGGCCGAAGGAAAATAACAGAAAGAGCCTATTAGCTAGGACTTAAAGTGAAAACAAGAAAACTGTCAAAAGCGTGGGAAAACGCGGGAAAACGCGGGTGACCAAATCCTGATCGATTATAGTTTTGCATCTGATTGGCTGAGAAATAAGCGCGAGTTAACTAGACCAATCACGCAGCGCAATATTGAAAATTGCTCTTTCGCCTTGGCACTGTTCCCTTGACGCAATCACAATCATTCAATTTCAACTCGTTGAAGAACAGTTAACAAAATTATCAAGAGTTTTACCTCATTTGCACCAAAGCTCAAACATGTTTTAAAGCTGTTTTGTTAAACACGGTTTAACGTTGTTTTCTTCATCCAAGCTGCTTAAACGGATATTTGTCGACTTCAAATTTAACACGTTGTTTGAGATTTTCATTCAGTTAGACCTGGTTTAAGCGGTAAACGTGTATTGTTTGTGTGAATGGAATGTTAGACTAACCTACGCCAAGATTACACTGCTGTGATGAAAAGAACAACTCGCAAATAGAAACGAATAGTTTAACGAGCGAGCCCTCTTAAGTTACAATGTCTCCATTTTACGCTAACGTCTTTTAACACTTCTCTTTAAAGAGTTTGAATGTGGGGTCTAAATTTCTTCACATGATCTCAAGACAAAAGAAATACTTGGCTGGAAGTGTCATTAGCTTTTCAACACAACATGTGAGTTCAATTGAATGCTTTAGTGCGTTTGATGTTACAGTCATGTGGGCAACAGAGCCACTTGTTTTTTAATACCAACTGTTTCGCTTTTCACCTTTTTTTTACGCCAGTATGTTATTTGTCAACTCGTAAACCGCTCTATGAAAAGTCAAACTACACACTTGTAACCGAACTTTTTCTGGTCAACACTTACTTATTGATCCTCGTCTAATATGTCTTGGATTGGAAAATGGTTTGTGTTATTTGGAGCTCTACCAAATCATTACACGACGCACGTGCTCGCCATATTCGCATGTACTTACAATCTCTTTATGCAATGGAATACAAGGGGTCTGGACCCCAATATTTTACATGTTTGACAACTGGAGGGATTAAAAGTAGACATGTCAAACAGTCCTTCGCTAATGTTTTTTTTTTTTTTGTGGCTCAAGTGTTCAACATAGAACCAGAAATATTTTGTTGTTCCACACTAATAAATTCTATTGGTTCTTCAACTAAGTCGCATGTGTTTTGTTTTCAGACGTCAATTAGGCTTCACTGGTTATTCAAGACCCATCCAGATGTAAGTTTCTCAATAGAATGCAGCTGCCCTCCACTCTTTACTGCTTAGACTGCATTGCGTTATCGTATACTTGTGCTTGGTCATTACACTTCAGTATCAGGAGGTTTAATCAGATTAGACGGGCACAGTGTTTACCACTTGTATGCTGTATTAGATACATTTTGTACATAAAACGTCAAAGTGAGCTAATAGATAAAAAACCTAATGCGAGTAAGAAGCATGTGTTGTGAACAGCTTGTGGTTTTTGGCCATAAAAATGATGCTTAGTCATTTTTTTTTCAGTGTTTTGTCTCTGTTGTCCCCGTAACTGGACTTTATCGTAGTTGGTTCCTGACAACTTATGTATGTTTTCGTTCTACAATTACTGTAGCTTGCCAAAAAGGCAGATATGGGTGTTCTGGCATTTGGAACCATTGACTCTTGGCTGATCTGGAAACTAACCAAGGGTAGGTTGTTATGGCTTTTCTCTTTCGTAAAATTGTGCCTCAGTATTATAAAGTCTCTGTACCGTTACACGATCACTACTCACAACAGCCTTTAATCAGTATTCACCTCCCTTAGACACATTTATTAACATAAGTATTCATATTGAATATAAGCGATGCATATGAGCGATTTTTTCCGTGATGATAACCTACTTAAAGCTACGACGCTACACTTATGCAATCCAGAATACATGTGAGCTTCAGTGCAATCCGATTTGCGGTCAGCCTTGATTCTTGCTACTCTCGCTAGCTTCTTTCAGGCAGTCCGTTTATGGAAACCAGCGGGGAACAAGGCGAGCGAGAGAAAAATGAGGGAGGACTGAGGAGAGGGAAGGGGGGGCACTCTTCCTCAACACTCCCCCCTGAAAACCCTGCTGATTTTTTTTTGTCTGCCCGGAAGCCTTTTTATCGTTTAATTTTTTATGTGTTCATCACCAGGTCAGCTTCATGTGACAGATTACTCCAATGCAAGTGGTACAGGGATGTTTGATCCTTTTATTGTAAGTTTCTTTTGTTTGTTAAAATTACGGGATTCTGAATGTAAACATTAACGCTTGAAAATTTCGAATCAATGCCAGTATCTGTGCAGTTGCGCACCTACATCTCCCCCAACATCAGCCTCGACTTGTTATCAGTTGATTGTGGTTGGATTAGGGGAGGGGTACGTGCGCAATTGCGCAGATACCGGCTTTGATCCATAATAGGCCATTCCCGAATTACATTTAGCCTCTTTTTCAAAGCAAGTCGTGGTGCTTCATTCATATGTAAATTAAATTCATTTTCATATACGTGTATTGCGGTTTCATTAGAAAGATTAAGCCCCAGGCCTCGTTTTGAAAAAGAGGCTAAAGGAAATTCGGAAATGACCCATTTCCATGTTGAGAGGGTTTTCTGATTGATTGTGATAGATTTAGTTTTAGTTTTACGACACTCAATTGAAAAAATAGGGACCTTAAGCAACCACGACGGCGACGGCAACGAGGACGTGGAAAAACAAGCGATCTAATTGGCAGAACAATAGCTCAGCACGTGCGTTTTGAAACTTTGTACATTTCTTAGCCGTCCTATGCAAAACAACAACGTGAAATCGCCAAAATTTGCGTCGTCTGCGAACCGAAACCGCGACGGCAAATTATTTTAATTTCCATTTGGAACTCAACGGCTACTTTATACGTCATGCTGAAGTTGAGCTGTGGCGCTGTATGAGACAGTAAGCTCCTGCAGCCATTTTTGAAATTCTAACTAAGAGTAGAAATTCATTTTTTAATCGAAGTCTTCCTTGGCGTTGCCGTCCAGAGTGCTTAAGGTCCCTAATACTCTGTTCCTAATGTTATCATTTCCTTTTCAAATGTTTTCATTGCAGATGGAATGGAG